TGCTTATGCCTGTTTCTACAAGTTATAGCTACACACAATATTTACAGGGTCTTTGGAGCCAACAATATTTGCAGACCAAAATAGTTTCACATGATAAATTAAATGTTTCAAAGTAATTCAAACTCATTAAAGATGCTCAACTTGCTTGAATGGCGAGTGGTGGCAGATGCTTACTTCTTTTAAAGAAATGTAGTATTTTGATGCACTTGCGCCACCTGGCAGTAAGTGGGGATATTGCATCAGTTGCATCATCTGCAGACAGTCGGTGTAGTGAGTAGAAGTGGTGAGAGCACAATTTGATATAGATTCAAATCAACAGCCCAACAAAAAGCATTCCCTCGGGCCTAATTTCACATGTCCAGTGTTTCATGTTGTTTGACTGTTTAAAGCTTCCACACGCAACATTTTGAAACAGGTTTGTTTAACCTGTATTCTTTTGAGTAGAGATATAAACTAATTGAATAACAAACATTTGTTATGAGCTCAGTTTGATCAATTATATGCAAGACATTTCATTTCCTAATTAAATGAATGTGCTTTGGTTTCATTCATACAAAGAAACTTCCAGATATCATTATTACATTATCAATAACTGTCTCATTTTGTATATAAAAGTAATCAGTCAATACCAAGAGGAGAATTGATCCAGTCAGAGGGGCAGGTAACTGTAGACACAGCCAGGACTCTCCATAAGTATACAGTAGACTGTTGCATTAGGGAACAGGATACACCTGACAAGAACTTTACTTTCAATATTGCAAGTACTTTTACCCATGGAGATAGGTTAATGTACATTTATTTTCATTTATTGGTACTTTTACTAAATATTGGACTACTTACTCCACCACTGCATCCAACTATAAAGTCAAAGAGGACATTTCCTTTAATGAGGCACTGATGGTGATGTGTGCGCTGGAGAACATAGTGAGTGAGGTCTGCTGAATGTTTCATGAGCCAGTGTTTGTTTCCTTTCACAGCAACAACACCAGATACTTTCCAATGAAACATGCAGTGATTTATTGAAACAGAGGAAGCCAAGACAAATTCATTTGTTTTTGAAAGTTTATTTTCCATTTGTATTGAATGGATTCAGGTTATTGAGAGAAAAGTGCACATCACAAGTTGCATGTATGTTTTAGACACAAGAAACAGACTTGAATTTTAATAAACATGCAAATAGCTTGAATCCAATAGCATCTGGGAGGTTGAGTCACACAGGGTATCTACGTCGTATATATATGCCAAATATATATATATAGAATATTTGTAATATGTAACAGAGCTTCCAACATTTTAAGAGTTAATCTTCAGTCCTCTTGTTCACACTCATGTTCTTTGCCCTTGCTTTTCTTGCCTCCCTTGCCGGTCTTCTTGTTGTAGTAGCACTTGGCCAGATCAGACACACACCGACAAAACTCTCGGAAGTTGACCTCACCGTCATGGTTTTTGTCCAACATCTGCATGGCTTCCTCAATATCATCTGCATTAACTTTACCCTTGAAAATAGAATCTTACAGTTAGATGACGAGTATGAACTCCACAAAAGCAGATGTCAGAATATATTGAATAAGGAGCAGGGGCATATTTCTTTATGGATAATTGTGTGTATGATGTAACTTGAGTGTGTCGCATCACTTACTTTTAACTCTGGACTTTGTATTTCCTGCTGCAACACTTTCTTTAATTCCTCCTTGTTTAACTGGGGCTTCTTGCCTTCATCATTGTCAGCGTACTCCAGGAATATATCCACAATGTTTGTGATGACCTGATCCAGGCGAGCCATATCAGAAGCTGAGGACAAAGATTGTAATTGATTTCCCAGATGAATCAATGGAAAAGTAGAATAAAATAACTTCAAACCACTGGTAATGCAACAAAGAACAAAACAGAAGATTATCCAGACAGTGTTGTAAGGAAAAGTTGACAAAAGTCAGTTCCAGACGTATGTTGTAGATGAAGACATAGGATGCTACAGTCAAAATCAAAACTATAAGGAGGTTGACAAATGTTCAGAGCTGCCTGCTTTGTAGAAGAACTTTAGTAATGAACATTTCTAGACAATATTCTTTCTATTCTACTGAATTATTCGCTCTGTCTTTCCAACCACAAAATTCCCTCCTCTGACATTTCGCAGTTTCCATCCGTGCTCACCTCAGAGTCCTCGTTCACCAGAAGTAAAGAAAGGTTCACGTCTGAGTCACCAGCCTGGTCCCAGATGAGTGTGTGGCCAAGCAAGCCTCCTCTTAAAGAGAAGGCACTTGTCTGACACACACACACACACACACACACGCACATCAGCAGTGATTCATGCCTGTGTAATGTATCCCACTCCACCCAGACTACTTTCATCTCTCACAGCTCAACCACATAGTAATATAAAAATACTATATATATTACCACTGAAGGATCTTATTTATGTTTGCATGTATGTCTTACATGCACATTTCATGTGTTTCTGTGTGCACATATTTTTTTTTTTTATTCATTGAACTGACGTCAGTGCTGACAACGTATGAGTGGTTTGTGAAGCCCTGTATGAATGTGTGGGTGAATGAGACTTGTACTGTAATGTGCTTTAAGTGGTTAATAGATACATTTACCATTAATAAGGCTATGTGTTATTTCCCATATGCAATGTATAAAATGAATGGGGAAAACAATACTTGCTGTTGTATAACTACCATTCCAATGCAAAATATACATAACACACAACTGAACAAACCTGTTGCCTTCAACACAGTTATTTGGAAACATCTATTATTTTACCACAATAGAATTCCTTGCCATTCTCAATGACTCATGGCTCTAATACCAACAACATATGGTTCCACCCTGCCCTTGTTTTAAAAAAAAGACAAATTACATATTACCTTTCACATGCATTTATTCAAAAACATGCCTCTAATCAGTTGCACATAACCTAAATGAAACAGTACTAGATGGTTGACAAATATTATGGAGAGAGTTGTTTTTTTATTATGACTGTTTTTGTAACCATTTAGAAATAAAGAAAGTAACTTCTTATTCCATTTCTGTGGTATTTTGAATAAAGGTGAATACACTGTTGAATGTTTGTAACTTAGATTGATCTTTTACTCAATGAAAACTGAATATTTAACTTGTCTATTCTTTACAGTTAAGCTACTGACTTTACAGTTTAACTTCATAAAACCAGCAGCAGTTACAGAGTTAAAGTATGTTTGAACATGTCTGAATCTGACGCATGGAGCTTCCATTCATCCTGCTCGACTGTTATGTAACTCAGTCTCCATTTTCCACGTCTCTGTTCCAAGGAAGCACAGAGGCAGCATTTCATGTCGCTGCTCTCCTCGCCTCTCTCACCTCCTGCAAAGTCCCTTTTTACAGGTCAGTTCAAAGTGTCCAGGGCCAGCCTCGCTTTACTTAGACCATATTACCTCCACTTATTGAACACTATCAGATTCTCCTTGCAGGGGAGGGAGAGAAAATAGAGACGGAGGATCATGTGGTGTTTGCAAACAAAAAAAAGTTCATCTGTCCACACTCTGCTGGTTGAGGTATGAGTTACAGTCTCACTGTTGGAGAGGTTCTTTTCCTCTGCAGTGGTAAGACATCATGAACATGTAGACTGATTGGATATCAATTAGAAATAGCTTTGAATCCCCTTCTTTACAATTTGTTCTTTATAGTGTTTTGAAAACAGATTTTTTAAAAGATGAGGCATCGCCTGTCCAAATAAAAAAAAAAAGACTACAATGAAAAAGTAGTAAAACAAGTTCTACATACAAAAGCTGTATGACAGGTAACTTTCCCACAGTCAGAGAATGGAAGAAATACGACACGACAAGACCCTACATGATACGATATTAGATAAAATATGATATGGTACGATAAGCTAATACTGTTTGTCCCATTATGGAGGGATTTGCTGGGTTATAGCGGCAAGCAGGATGATTAAAAATGTGAAATAAGACTATTTATACATAGTTTCTCTCCCTTGTGGTAACAATGTATGTAGGTTATTCCAGTAGTCATAATCAGGGTGATACATATTTTGTGATTATATCCATAAATCTTGTTGGAGAAAAGAGCAGCTCAGAAGATTCATTCAAATTCTCTCAAATACTCTTGAAGAAACATTTCATTTATTTGAAAGACTAAATACAGCTGAATAATTGTACAGAAATGTATTTTGCCTGATTAAACCCTGCAACATTTACTATTAAGAAATAAGTCGTTCCCTCCACCTTCAGGTATGGAAATAAGAGAGGACCAAGAAGAGAATGCTGAATGAACTGCCCTAAAAGATTTTAATGACATCTAGTGTTGAATTTAAGACACTACACACACCTTTGCTTAAAGGACCAAATCAGTTGTATTGAATGACTCATGCTCTATTTTCTGGGTGTGCATGATGACTCACATTCACAATATCATGCTTCACTGAGACAGCTGAATAGAGAACTAGTAACACCTGCTTATTCTACTGTAGCGTAGAATTTCTAAGTTTTTAAATAAAAAAAAGAGTTGGGCACCAGACAGGGCTTCTTCCCCTGTCTATTTATTTAAATATTTCACGGTAAGACAGCTAACCCGGATAGCTTGTTAACCTAGATTCAAAAGGCATCAAAGGTAAAAGAAATCACAAACAATAAATTCAGTTAATCAATATATATTCAACGAATTATTCAAATAGAAATAATCAAATCAAAGATGTATGAGTAATAAACAAACATCAAGAACTCATTTTCACAAAACAATATCAAGTAATCGATAGAAAACAAATTCATTTCCAAATAAGAAGATTATCTGTCCATTAAATAAACAAATGAAATAAGTGTTCATTAGAGTTCGTTCAGAGTATAGTCTGAGTTCAGATGATGTGTGAGGAGGGTGTTCAGGAAAAACAGTTATACAGTGTATATTATATTCCATTCAGTTTATAATTCCATCAGTGGAGAGGTGTGTGTGTGTGTGTGTGTGTGTGTGTGAGAGAGAGAGAGTTAGGGTCCAATGAAAGTGTGAAATGAATGTTTTTGAGGGGGTCCTTCATTCTCCAGGGAGAGGGAAGATGAGGGGTGAATTTACTAGAGGCAAAGGGAATCGGGGAAGCCAGGAGAGGTTCAGTATGAAGACTTATCTTGTATGGTTCAACCAGGACAGAGGGGATCATGGTCCAAATCCAAACAGGTTAGACAGATTTTCCAATTTTCTCCATCAGGCTCCAGGGACCAGTTCCTTTGCCTCTTGGTCCAGGACGATTGTGAAATAAACCCAACCGGTTCTTGGATCAACCTTCCAGAAACTAGATTGTCTTTTTGTGATCTCCTTCCTTCAGTTTCTCTCAGTTCTCGTGCGTTCTGCCTTTGTTTGACTTTCCCTCTCTTTTATGGCTCACAGGTGTGTCCAACTCATCATCGCTCTCGCCCCTCCTTCATTTCCTGTTGAGGTGTAAAGGGCCATTCTGTCCATTTAATTTTCTTTTTACAAGTCAACATATGGACTGTAAAAAAAAACGTAACACTCCTGTACACTACTGGCCCGTCTAACACACAAGTCTTCATCCCCAGTGCCTTCCTATCGCAACAATATTTCTATGATCTGTTGGTGAAAACCAAATATTATCAGACATACATGGAAAAGAATGACAGTAATTATGAAAACTCCCCGGGTATATAGGCCCTTATGAAAGTGTTCTTTCTGAATGACTGTTGGTGAAATGCACCGGCGTTAAGAACATATTTGGCTGCTCTCAAACTTTGATTCAGCTATTTAATATAGTGTACTTATATCTTACAATACACCATCTATTAATAACTGGAAGGAAGATACATTTTCCATCTTGAGAATGAGAGAAACAAAACATAAACTTTTTAACACCACAACATTTGGTACCTTGTGAGTTTTATTTGGTGCAACCCTAACCCTAAATCATGAGCTCATGACATAATAAGTAACATCAGGCTTTGGAAAAAATATATCTGATACCGGCACACTCCCATATTGAGCCATTCAGATACTGTAAAAACTGCTGTCTTTGCAGAACTATCGAGCAGGATTTATGAGTGGAAGGATGTGCATCAGATGTGAACTCATCAATATTCTCTCAAGTTATTTCTCTGACTTGAGCAGAACTTCTCTTGACTAAACTGGATGCAGGTGTTCATGAAATCGGTGGCAAAGAGCAAGAACGAGAAAAAAGGTATTTTGTACAAAATGTACGAACAAAAGGTGAAACATTGTCAAATGTAGTTTTATTCATGAATCTTGCAAGAAAAAACTCAGCATCAATATTCCCCATAGTATTTGCATATCAATTCTTGCTCTTCTTTTGAGAGAGCTCGTAACACTTCTCACAGGCATTTGAGAGGCCGGCGACGAACCCCACGAATTCTTCAAAGTTAATCTTATCGTCTTTGTTTTGGTCCAAATCTTTCATGATGCAGTCCACTGTATTTGGGTTTTTCTGTGCCTGGAGGAGAGTTAACGAGAGACAGGAAGAAAGGTTAAACTCAGAGCAGTGAATTATAGATTGACCAGTACTGAGGTCAGAGATCAGATTGGATGGAACACACAAGGGCCTTACTTTCAGAAAAACGGGCAACTCATTTTCAAGCAGCTTTTTCAGCTCTTTCTTGTTTAGGGTCCTTCCATCCTTGTCTTCACTGGCATAGTCATGGAAAACCTTAATAATGCACTCCATGGAGGTCTCCAGTTTAGTCATGGCTCCGGTAATGTGTGCTAAAAGGAGAAAAGACAAATCTAGAGATTAATTTCATGGAATTTAAACTTCAATTTATCTGTGAGAGTCGTAACATATTTTGCAGGATTTCAGTATAAAGGATGATGTTTAGGGCTGGCACAACTGTGGCCTTTCTCGAGGTCATTTAACAATAAAGATCCAGCTGCCGTTGGTCAGTTTATATTCACGTGAACCTGGATCCTCAGTGCGAGAGGGTAAGTTCACTTCCTATCACTATTATTGGCAACACTGTTACAATACGATTGTCACTGCTGCTCCCTTTGCTCCCTCTGTCATTTCTGTCTCTAGTCCCAGGGTTAAGAGCAGGGGACGTTGCACGTTGTTACGCCCTGAAATGGTGTCTTAAGTTATATGTATTTATGTATGTAGTTATTTATTTTGATACCATGTTTCATTCTGTTTGAAAACAACGTTTCTCAACAGGTTATAGTGAAAATCAATTGAGCAGCCATCCCGCTAAGGGTCTCTGCACGGCCCTGGCCTAGAGTATGAATTAACTGTGATATAGAGGCTCCTATTACTTCTGTAAAGATTTCAAACTGTAATGTCTCCAAAGCATTAGGCTTCGGTCAAGCAGAAGGAAATAATAATGCTTTATCCCAAACTAACACATTTGTAAGTGAGTTTGTTTTACTGGCTCTCAAATCAAATTCTTTGTCTATGAGACCTTTTCTGGCACATACAGTGAAATCCTTATCTGAAGGGTGGATCCATTCCTCCCTGCCTTCTCCAAGTGCCTCTCCCTTCAACTCACCCTTTTTTGGATGTGACTTTCAGGGGAAAAAACGAGGTGGGCTGTGAAAATAAAGTAACTGAAGGGAAGAACAAACAGAGGACCTGTCGGTGCTTGTCAGACGAAGTGAAGAAATGCGCAAAAAACGCCGAAGCCCAGAGATGTTTCACATTTAAACTTCAAAATCAGCACCTGCATTTATTCTACAAGCCTCAAACTTCTTACATCAGCTGAGATAAACAGTGTTTAGCTTCTATAAGAAAATGTCAGCGTGAGATAACAATTAAAGATACAAGTGTTGGAATGGTTAGTTTGAACTTACCAGGACGCGAATGCGCAGTGACAGTGGGTAGAAGTTCAGAGAAGAGCGCAGGGGAACAAGGGAAAGTTTATCCAAGCATTTATATTCTGCTGGCAACGCCCAGTGTGGTGGGAGGGAGGGAGAGAGAGAGAGGGAGGGATATACAGGGGGAAGAGGCAGAGAGGGGGGACGAGAAGGGAGCAAACAATGTGGAAACACCATGTACAAACACCATCCACTGTTTTTACGCACAGGATTTTCACCGCCTGCGACACTGAGGTGAATCTACAACGTTCACATGTGACACAGTTTCTGCCAATGTAAATACTTTTCTCTCTGACATTTTTTAATATGATGTCATATCCGTGACAGACGCGTCCTACACCTCCGCCCTATTTCTAGAACTGTGCCACAGGAAATCAAAGAAACAAAGGAGAAGTGCTTTTCCTCTCATAGTTTGGCACAGAAAGTTACAGAAAAATGTATCACAATCAATTAACAGGAGAGGCAAATAACACAATGCAGAGAAATATCACACACAGTGGTGCTGGATGCAGACCGGCTTTGTAATAGTTTTCCTGAGTTTAGAACTTAAGTCAAAAACAGCTTGTTAGTGTCTGTAATAAGTGTAATCCAACTACATGAAATAAGTTGTACACAGTCATATTCTCCTAACAGCTTTTCTTTATCTGAGGAAACTTCATTGTCTTTGACATCCTGTTCACACACTCACATGCTGGAAGCTGTCCAGAACAACCACACACTGATCTGTTGGCCTCAGAGCAGCTCCACTGCAACTGTTGAGGAGTCATTATTTATCTTTTACGTCTTGCTAAAGGGCACCTCAGTGCCACTCCACTGCCCGTCCAGATGTCTACCATGCAGGGTTAGAAGTTGTTCATTAGTCCGCCGCTTACCCATTAAATTGGAGTAAATATAAGAATCTATACTGACACACCAGTGTTTTTTATTACCCTATACCGCCTCACAGAGGGGATCCCCATGACAGGATGACCTCCCTATCCTCCCTGTGGCTTTACCTTCACCAAACTTCATGCTCAGAGATATACCTGATATACTTAAATGCTCATCTTGTGAACATTTAATCTCTAAACAACCCCACTCAAGAATAATATTAGTAGAACATTTCCTGTGTGCTTAAAGTTGTCTGGGATGTTCAGACCGGTTTGAGGGAGAGGGATCCAAGTTATGTTTAACTCCGCCTAAGGTGATTAATATGTAAAAACTACTGAACATGTTTCCATGAAACTTGGGGGAGGGATGGGTCAAAAGAGAAGATAAATGATGGTGCTGAAGCAGATATGATGCAGATCCAGGAATTTTTCTTTAACATTGCAACATAAGCTTTTTTAAAATATATATTGCCCCAATCTCATCGACATATCAGTCGTATTAAAGGTCTGATATTTACGAGTGTGCAACATCTGACTTTATTTGATTGACATTCAGGGGAATGTTGGGCCTTGGGGAAGGTGTGTGCTCTACTTGTCTTTTCTTAAACTCCTGTCAATTAGCTGAGGCAGCGCCACACCTCACTTAACAAATAACCTGACACATTCGAACTGAACACTGTTTGGAAGAAGAACATCACATTAAGAGTCTTTTACAGAGTTTAATTACAAAATGAATTAAACAAAAAAGTAACTTGATGTGCTGATGAATATACAAACAACATGGTGGGGTTGATGAATCTCATTGTAACCAGTGTAAAAACAGTGCTGTGAAGAGGTCTTCAATGGAATGTAGTTCGCTGTTTAATCACCTCTGTATACCAAGAGCAATTCTAATTTGAAATCACTGTAAAAAACGATGTCGTAGAGGTTGCACATTTGTACTCACTAAAATAAACTGATTTTTTGGGTCGTGGATTGAAGAAGTTATTCTGACAAAATATGCACAGTTGTGTTTCACTGTCCATCAGCATCTGGACAATATTGACTGGTGAACTGGATTCAAGTGCCATCCTACAGGTTCATTAGTTCTTCCTCTTGCTCTTGCTGGCAGCCTTCGCTGGTGTGACTGCAGGAGCAGCTGCTTGGTAAAGAGCGGCAGATATTTTGTTGATGTAGTACAAGGCGAAGAGAGAGAAGATGAGGCTGGAGAAAAAAGAAGGACAAAGCTCAGGAATACAATTTAAAAATACGTTTTATCGACTTTTTTAGCAACTGACAAAAGCATTTGTGATTCACAGAGGTTACTGTCACTTACCATGTTGTGACACAGACACGATGAACCAGACCGGAGGCAAACAGTGACAGGCACAGGCAAAGCAGAACTGGAAGTCGAGAAAAAGAAAAGTACAAATGAGGAGCAGATCCTGATTTGCTAAACTGTTCACTGAAGAAGAGCACATACTGTTTGTTATATTTCTTATTAAATAAATGATCAAATGTGAATTACAGGTTAATATCAGGCTAGAAAACAGAGTGTGCTGAGAGCGTGAGTTTAACTTGATCACTTACTCTCTGGGAAAATCTTTGCTTGGAATCCTTTCCCAAAAATCAGGTTTTCCAGATTATTAAATGCCTGGATGAAATGTTAAAGAAGAACATTTGGATTTTTCTATCTATGCCACAGACTGAATCTTCATGAAGGTTGCACCATCGTACAAATAACCAACATCATATGTTCAATGACACACAGCTATTTTAAACCATGCATAAAAATCTGGTGTAATAGGTTAAAGGTGTTCAACCCTTGATGCCACCAAAAGGATACGGTGAGGGAACAGATGAAGAGGACAGAGCCCAGGAAACCTCCCAGGATGGTGAGCCACTCAGTAGATCCCAGCTGTTTACTGAACATCTGCATCCCGGCAAACACCAGCACTGACAGCAGACTGGACAGCACGAGGGAGGTGCCTGTGTTCGCCGCTACAAAGCCCAGAGATATGACATCATCAGGAAACAACTTGTTAAACAGTCCTGCAATAAACCCTACCTCCACAATTCAATGTCTGGTTTTTAGGTGATCAATGAAATTAATGTGAATACAAATATATTTATATATAAATATAACATTATTATTTGGCTCCTGAGTGAAAGTTGTGGTTTTTAATACTTCTTTATTAGCAGAGAATTACAAACACTTGATAACCAGAACATTGTACAAATCTGAGGTAGATCAACTATGTGTTCACCCTCCTCACTGTGCTTACACGTGTATAAGCAATACTATATATTGAACCTTTGTTATGTTGCTATTGATCCCACTTGTATTAGAATAATTTCTGATACAGTTTCACTGCCCAGCTTCTGTATAATCCTTGCGGAGGATGTGGTTTGTGTTGCTGTTGAGCTGAAACTTGAAGTGAAACACCAAACGCAGCAGTTCAACAACAACACAAACGACATCCTTCACAATACTAACACACTTGAATCAACACATTTGTAAAACAGCTTCAACACAAACTGAACATAGAAACACGTGAGAATGAGTTAGTGCAGGTCTGCAGTATGACTCTGAACTGCACTGATTTTAGATCAGTGTTCTTAATAAACTGTTTGTTAGTGTGACTGTGTGATGCATCATAATATCTGTACAAATGTCGGGTATTTATCACTTTAAACATTAAGTTGAAGTTCATCTCTCACACTAGTAAACTGCTGAGCTCTGTGAATGAAGCGCCACGTCAGTGTTCACACTCAAACCCTTCCGACGTGTAGCAGTTAGCTTCATGCTAACAGCCGACATTACCAGCCCCAGCTCATACAACACAGTAAACACACGCAGAGGGAACACACAGCAGCTGGTCTCCATGCTGTTTCACATCAGATACATTGAGTGAACACGACTGAAGCTAACAGGCAGATACTGTGACACACGTCCGCACGTTAGCTTCACCGTAGACCTGCAAGCTAACATCTGAACTCTCCTGTGTGAATACGAACTCGCTTCGTAAATACCATAGACTGTATATAAAGGTAAATACACTGGACCGATGAGTAAACAAGTCAACACATACCCATGAGTCGATGTTGAATCAGAGTCCTTCAAATGAAACAGAGGAGATCTGAGTTTAATGTCGTACAGACAGGAGAACTCCCGGGCTGTAGGAACTAAAGAAAACCTGAGGACTACCCGGTGGAAATTTGAGGTGGGACCAGTGGGCGGAGACGGCATCAGCTCACGTATCATGTATAGACCATAGACTGTAAATAAAAAGGTATAGATCGTAAATAAAAAGGTATAGACTGTAAATAAAAAGGTATAGATCGTAAATAAAAAGGTATAGACTGTAAATAAAAAGGTATAGACTGTAAATAAAAAGGTATAGACTGTAAATAAAAAGGTATAGACTGTAAATACAAAGGTATACACTGTAAATGTAAATGTTGAG